CTAGTTCGATTGGACCTTGTTGAAAGACAGACTGAAGGAGAACCGGTCACAACCAAATTGAATGACAAGAAAGCCTGTCAATAGCTCGTATTTGTCTTGTACCATAACGGTAGATCTTACCTAAATGTATGGGAATCCGCATGTACAACACTGGCAACAATTTTGCAATGGAACAGCAAGATCGAATTTTGAGGTGCCAGCCTATCTCGAGTTCCTGACACACCCACCTCACAGTGGGCACATGGTTCTGAATATTTCCACGACCAATCAGACTTCCGTTATGGCCAGTCAACGCATCGACTTTCCGTTACTCTCGTCAGCTTGAATTCACTTTTCCATCAAACCCAGCCTTTCTCGCATCAACTCTTCCTTGCTCTTGGGGCCCCCTTTCCTCTCGATATTGAACCCAGCCCCCCCCACTTTTCCGACTCGCTTATCGTTCCGAGCTGCTTCCCGTACTGATACCAATTCTGTAAGCCAATCCTGAAAGAGAACGCCATGTGCGTCACCTGAGTTCGCGGAACTCTCCCCAGCGGCCCGTGCGGCGCCATGGCCCCTCCCCCCGGAATCCATTCCGCGCCCTCTTGTCTCCATTCCCGGTCCTCTCCCCCCCCTCCCCCTAAAACCACTACCAGGCCCCCTACCCGCCTCCTCCTCTTGGTCACTGCTCTTGCCACGTCCGCTGTCCCCAGCAGACCAGCCTCTTCCTCTTTCCCCCCTAGTTGCATCCCCCCTTGTCAAACCACCACGTCCCCTGGCCCCTGTACCTGACCCCCCTCTGGTGGAAGTCCCACGACCCCTTCCCCCCGCAGCAGATCCCCGCCCCCTTTTCCCCCCAGCAGTGCCCCCGCCTCTCGCCCCGCTCACGGTATCAAGAGCTCCACCACCGCTTTCGCCGCCGTCCTCCGACTCTGATGCCTCCTCATGCGCTTCTGAACTTATGCCCCGTCCCCTACCCCTGCCAGCGGTGCTCCTCCCTTAGCCCCTTCCCTTAGTAGCGCTGCTACTTCCCCGCACCCCCCCTCGCCGAGCCGCGCAGTCCTCTGAATACCCCTCTCATGCTATCTAGGGCCGCCTTCATTCTCTCGCCCCGATGTTTCGCATAAACGGACCCCGCTCAGCGTCCCCGTCCGACTGCGCACCTCGATCAGTCACAGCTCCTCCGTTTCCCCCACCTTCCCTCCCCTGCGAAGAACGGTACCCCTCCGCTTCCCCCGTCTGCTTCCTCCTTTTTGCTCCCGGGCCTCCACTCATCTCATTGCCGCCTTTCTGCTGCCCTGCCGCCGCCGCCGCACTACTCTCAAAGTCCAGTTGCCGCCCCCGCTTCTTCATCACCTCGTGAGCCACTTCTTCCAAAAGATGCTCTCTCCGGTCTCCACCATCAATGCTTCTTCCTCCCTGTTCCACTGCTCCTTCTTTGCCTTGATCTTGAGCTCCTCTTTGCGCTTCCGCTTCACCGTCAGCATTGCCACCGCCCCCCCCACCAGGCTCCCTCGAACCCTTTTCCCCAATCTGACTCGGTTCGTCCTCGTCTCCAAAATCAAGCTGAGCAGGGGTGATAATCTGCTCTTCTGCAGCGTTTCTCAGCCCCCCAGCCTCACGATCACTCCCCCAGAACCTAAACGAGCTGTGCCGTTCTTGGGGTTCCCTTGAGTCGTGGCTGGTGTGAAACGTCGGGGGCGGCCTCTCAACTCCCCGTTGGTCGCCACACATTGCTTCTGCATCCCTATTCCTACCACCAACGTTTGCAGTGTCCTGCAGGCCCACAGGAAAAGGGGTTGCGGCCTCTACTGGCTGTAGGGGCTCCGTCGGCAATGGCAGGCCATGCGTTGTTGTGTCTGGGGGGGTCTCCAGCGGCGTGGATTGGGCCCGACCCGACGTCTCAGCTTGGAAGACTGCGCCCGGTGCCAAGTTTTGCAGCATGTCCTCCTGTGGCAATACTCTGGCACCGGGGTTTGCAGGGGCTGTAGGTCCTTTCGACGGGGAAGCCGGGGTAGGGCCTTGTTGCTGGGGCATAGGGCCTTGTTGCTGGGGCATAGGGCCTTGTTGCTGGGGCATAGGGCCGTGTTGCTGGGGCATAGGGCCTTGTTGCTGGGGCATAGGGCCGTGTTGCTGTGGGAGAGGGCCTGTTTGCTGGGGCATAGGGGCCTGTTGTTGTGGGAAGGGGCCTGTTTGCTGGACCATATCTGCACAAGGGATGGTGCCGAAGACAGTTATACAGTGAAGTCCTCTGAGCGTAAGGGGGGACGTCAGGTTTGATTTGCGCTGCGAGAACAGTGAATGAAAACATAACTACTTTTCAATCGTTTCCAAAATGCAGAAGATCATTAGGGTAGGGAACTTAATATGACGGACCATAAGCGACACAATTCACTGGTGGCAAAACAAAGTGGACCTGTTGTCTTCCAGATGACCAATGTTGCCTCTTAGTACTTCATAACCAATCATGAATAACACTAATCATTCTGCAAAGTGGGAATCACTAAAGCTTCCTTGCGGTACCAAGATCCTGGGCAACTCCTCCTTCACAGATGCTTAGGACGAAAGATAGCATGCTTTCTTCAAAAATTGCGTGCTTTCTTCGAAGAAGAACGTGAATCCAGCTAATGTCACTAGACAGATGATTTCCATGAGGTTATTTTGACATTATTTCGAACCTGCCAGGACAGAGCTGACCAAGAAAAATCGCAATATAATACCTGCAGCACGTGTCCCCTCCTCTCTTACTGGCAGCTGGGGCATAACAGCATCAGCCGCTGGGGTCGCGCTCAGTATGGCCCATAGGTGCGGCCAAGTGCGCCCGCTTTTAATCGGCTCTCCATTTGGTGAGAGCACGAGGTGCAGCAGTTCCAAGCTGAAGTCGCTCTCGTATTCGTCAGGGTCAGGGCTGTCCTGGAACCGAACCTCAACCATGCCATTGGGCATACCGTACTCATGCGGTTCTAGGGTCACTCTTGTCTGCAGCATGGAGGATGCTTATGTCACATCAACAATAGGACAATCGGAAGACCAAATGTGATATTAGGAAGCTCAAAGCTCGTGACAGACATGCCTGTTCTGGAGAACTTGACTGGCTGCGATCGGGTCTTTCTGTCTTCCAAAGTTTGCACTACTTTGTGTGGTCATGGGTCATTAAAAGCAAGAGGGGGCTGCGCGTGTGGAAGTCCTCGTCTGCTTTACGTTAGGGGACGATGCTAGACACAAGAAGCGGTCTGGTAAGACTTGAATTTGCTCGACCTGTTCAAATTGCCTATCGCCCAACCTACTCGAATAGCCTCTCACTCAAGCCCCGCTAGGCTGTGCAATGCCTTTCCAGTGAATGGAACCAAGCCAGCCTCGAAGTTGTTGATCTATGCGGTGCTAGTCAGAAAGCGACAAATGTATAAACGAAGACAAGAAGGATAAGCGGCCTATGGTTCTGAAATGGCCACAACAGAGTCAGATTGGCTGGTAAGATCCAAATTTCTGCATGCAGGAGTTGCAGAATGATTGTAATGAGGTGCAACGACCATTGTCCGCAATGCTGCATTAGACATTCATTCAACAAGCATAAAAGTTCTATAAACTGCACCTTCACTCTCTTCAGAAGGAACTGAACTGTGGACTCAGGCTGCTGCACGTCTGGACAGTGCACATGCAATGCAGGTGCTCCTCCCCTCAATTTTGGCACATGGATGTAGAAGGCTGCTGGCCTGCCTTGGGAAGCCATTATGCCTGAACTATAACCGACTGAACTTATGCACCACAAATTAATCAATAACTTAAGTGGAAGTACCCGATGGATTCCCTATTGCGAAGCACGCCTAATGCATTAGCATGAGAACGCAGCTTCCTGGCTGTATCCAGTTGTGCAGACTGAGAATGGAGGCTCCTGGACCTGCCCCGGCAATTGACTGCGGAAGAACATTGCAGCTGCCGAGAATTGTGTCGAGCTTAGTAGAGGCAGATGCGGCATGTGGACCTTTGAAAGGCAAAGTTCGCCACTCCGACCCTCACTGTGGCAAGTAGGACGAAGTACGCTATTTTATTAGTGTCTCCGGCATGCGTCCTGTGTTAACACCCTCATGTGCCGCGGACAGAAATGACCTGGAACAGATCGCTCTGTCACAATTCAGACCTTCAGCCAATGGCTGCACAGATTGACGCCATGCGAAACTATTTACTCTGACAATTCGACCAGAGACACTAGTAAAATAACGTAGATTGACCATTTTGCCTCACGGTGCCTCACTGTCTGTCACTGCAGACAGTTCAAAGGCCTGTGTAGCTAGACAGCTAAATCGTATGCCTGTGGGTTTAACCTTTTGAAGTTAAGGGGTTAGTAACACTAGACGACGGGTGCGTCGTGACGGTTCTGGATGTCAAAATCCATGACAAACAAACCTGCTTCGTGCCGGATTCCCACGTAGTCCCGCCGGTTTCATCAGCGTCGACTTCGTGCGTTTTGGGTTTAGGACATTAACAACACCCGCCAAAATGTGGGTACAGCTTAAGTTTTATCCTAAGTCACAGTGTGCTGCGCTATGTGAGATCAACGCTTCAAGTTGCTGCCGTGCTGGCATTGTGCGCCACCTTTTGATTCCAGCTCAGGACTTTTGCGGCTTTGCAGAATCCATCTCACCGTTTTTGCAGTAGCGGTGAATGTTTGATTTGTGCTGCAATCGGTTGAAGATTCGCAGAAGCGCAAGAGTTGGTACATCTACAAGTGGTTGTCAGTGAAAGAGGAAGAGGACATGGCTACCAGCGGAGATGAGATTGCCAGCTCAACCGGGGACTCACTGCAGATTTTGATGGCAGCATTCAATCGAAGAGCCGCCGACCTAAAGGAGATGATTCTCCTACGGCATTGTGAGTTTGCAGCTGCACTTCAAATGTCAAAGTTAGGGTCTTGCAACGGTGGTGATGACATGAGTAGCATCAAAAAGTATGTTCGTGACAGGACCTAGATCGACTGAATGATCAAGTGCATGGATTGACTCAGTGGCTGAGTTCACAAGACTCTGTGACTAAGATTTCAAGCCACTTTAGCATTGGACCCTTGCCTCTTTTCTGATGAATCATGGGAGGGGTCAAAATGAACGAAAAGTGCTGAAACCAGCTCGATTGCCTTTGAGTAAGCTTTGCCAGGTAAGCTGAGGTCAGATTGTGCACATGGACATGCTCATGCTTAGATGCAGGACTGTCCCCTGGGGTTTCTAGGGCTATATACTGGCTGAGGAGATTGGGGAAGTTGCCCTCGTCCGTTTTGAGTGATTGACTGCGGCCTTCGTCTAAGCAAGTCTTTCTTTTGGATTGCAGTGTCAATTGATCAATATGGTGCAGACTTGGCCGCCCTTGACACTTCCATCAAAGCACTGGAGCGGCAGCTTCAAGCAATCAAAGCACACCTCAGGCATGAGGCAGAAGGGCTTCCCAGCACGCAGGTAGGTTGACCTCGCATCCAGACCGCCAGCTACCATGCAAATATTCTGATTGCCACTGGAATTCTCGGCATGGAACCTGCAGAGAATCTGGAAAATGAGCCACATGAATCATAGATCTGCGCCAAAACTTTCCTGAACAATAATAGCACTTGTCAGCTGGGAGGACTCTTGCAATCAGGAAGTCTGCAACAATTGTAGTGCTTACTCTTGAGGTGGTTGTGCAGCTGGATCGCAAGAGAGTCACTCTTCTGGCAGCCCTTGCCTTGCTCATCTTGAAAGTCTCTGTATTTTAGCCTACTGCACTGGTCAACGAAATATCCGTGTCCATAATAACTGAGTAATTACTGTACAAGTGAGGTTCTGAAGGGGCAGAGAGTGGCGGCCCCTGCACTTGATCTCTGCAGACTCATACCATGTCTCACTTTTTCCTGCACAACTCCTCTGTCTTAACTCTATCTCCCGGTGCACTAGTAGGATTCATCTCGAAGTAGTAGTTTCTTGCTTCCTGATGGCAGGACCTGGTGGAACGATCCCAACAGCAACAACGAAAGCTGCAGTCCATTGCGGCGCACCTTCCGGCGCATCTGCCAAATCAGAGCGGCCGATTGTAAGCTCACCGTTTCTATCCAGCTGATCACTGTGTCATAGACAAAAGATCAGGCTTCAGGCATCTAATCTGTCTGGAGTCGGTGGGTAGTTGTCTGTCCACCCTTGTGCTTCGAACAACCTTAGAGACTGCGGAGAGCGATTCACAGCATGGTAAATTTCTCAAAATCTTGACGATTCAAGCCATGTACTTTTTGAATCATCGCTCAGCCTATTTTTGGATCTTAGAAAGGCGAACCTCTCTGTTTCTTGGGGGGAGAATGTTAACAATCAAAGTGCAGGAGTGTCAGCAGTGGTCCTCAGTTTCGCGAACGGGTAGTGGAGAAGACCTTGCTCGTCTACAACACAGGTCAAGCTTTTGAATGCGATCAGGGTCAACCGAGGGACTGATTGAATGAGTCCTGATACACTTTGCAGCTCACAGAACGGCTCTGAGACGTCCACTTCATACACCACCTCGAGAGCCAACGAGTCAAACAAAGTCAATGAAGATAATGGAACGGAGACTGCTCCAAGCACTGCAAAGGTAAGCAACTTCCTGCAAGGCCGCTCGAGACAACCTCTTAAGTTGCATTCCGTTTCTGGCTTTGCAAACAACAAACCTCTTGTTTCGACAGTTTCCATTCTTGTAGGACATGCAGAGCCGGCATGACCATGTGAAACATTCTGGAAACTCTCCGTAAACGATCATACCAGAGCATCACACGACTTCGATCCGAATTGACTCTTGTGCTTCTCATCATCAGCTCACGTTGAAGTAGGGCCTTCTGATACGTCGTGATTGATTGCAGTTACTCGTCCTGTATTGTCAGACCGAGAACAATATCATCTTTTCTTTTCATCAGGATCCCTGTCCGGGAACCTTAATTCCGTAGGCTGTTGTTTCTCAGGTGAAGAAGGAGCCCCGGGGTGTGCCTCGAAAGTACGTTACGATGGACGAGCTTAAGTCACTCTCCAGGTGAGAGTTCTTCTTCAACTGCATCAGTTCTGATCCGCGGATCCCCTCTTTACCGTCGAAAAGCATTTACAGTGTGCAGGCAGTTAGGAGTGACCTCACTCGACCTACGTTTGCATCAGAGGTTCAAGAAGCCTTTCCTCACATGTCGGTTTCTTCTGAAAAGAGTCTCGTGTGAAGGGCGACGCATGTTGGTTATTTACGAGTTGGGAGAGATCGATGAGCAGGAGAGAGTTTTTTCGACGTTGAGGCTCAAGCGGCGCTTTTAGTGAGCAGAAGCGTCGAAACCTTACAAGAGATAACGAACTTTCTCGCTTCTCTGCAGCTACATGAAGGGCCGACTAACGCTCGACAAAGTCAACGCCGCAGTCGACGACATGGCGTCATTTGCGGAGGCGAATGCACAGCTGCTGTCAGCGCCTCGGAAGAAAGTGAGCGCCGATACGAGTTCAATTGGAGCCAGTGCAGAGGGACCGCTCTGCTACGCATAACTTGCATGAGGATTGCCAAACCTCAGGAAGCGGGTTGAGAACAATATCCGAAAATCATAACACGGCTACAAGGCAAAGTTGCGAAAGTTTGCGGGGTTGCCGTCTAGAGACCGGAAACGAGCGGACTTGTTCGGATTAACAATGACCCCGAAACGCCATAAGTCTGTTATCTTCGGAGAAAGCTCAGACACTGTTCTCCTGGTGCAGCTGGGAGAGGACGCCCTGAAGAAGGTTCTGGTGAGTTCGCTCCGCCAAGTTTACGTCCATACCTTTTGCTTCAGGACATAATGCCAACTGCGAGAGCGACTCATTGCGTCAAGGTCTCGTTCGTCCTGAAAGTCTCTAAGTTGCGTCTCCCACTACTTTCTCGCTCCTGCCGCGATCTGCAAAACCTTTCCGAGCAGCTTCCATTGGTTCCAGCTCTGCGTCTGCTCTTCATATGACGAGTGTTGAGCTGTTTTAAACCAAGGCCCGACGATCTCATTGGACTGGTTGGCTCGAAAAAGGCCTAGTGCTGCTACCTTCAGGTGCTCGAGGTGGTCGACGGAACAGGTCCCTTCGAGCCCGGCCTTAGAGCTTTTTTAAGTTTCGCCCTGAGTCGACTTATTACAGGCGAAAAGTTTCGTTTGAAAAGAGTTTTTCTCATCCGTCTGCAGGAGCTTCGGGAGCTCACGGCACTGGAGGGGGTCAAGGGCCAGGCCTTCTTCCTGGAGTTTGACATGCGGTCGGGGACGCACCTCAAAATGGACACAACCGGGAAGTCGATCCTCACGGTGAGCTTCGATAGGCTATTGACGCCATTCTCTCAACCATTCCGAGAGTCCTAACGACCCCGCTATGAACAGATCTGAGAAGCTATATGTCTCCCATTTTGCTATGCACATTGCCAGATCATAGGAGGTTTTGCTTAGATAGGAGCCCGGCGAGGATGTTATGGTCGCTGAGGGAATGTTCTCATGCAGAGGGATTCTTGGCGCAAGGGGCTTCGCGGATTAGTATCTGCTATTTACGCTCATATCATCAGGAGCATGACGGACATTTTGCCCAGTGTTGCGATGTTCAGGTTCTACTTGCGTTGTCTTGAAAGACAGTCTTTTGACATCCCTTCCGTCGTCTCCCTGGCGTGCAAGTGCCATGCTTCCGAGATTGTTCTGGCACGAGTATCCAACGGTGTGCTCCAAAGATTGCCACCTGATCCAAGCCGATCCTTTTGGCTGCAAGGACGATTGCCCTAGCAACCTTTTGAACAATTTCCTGTGTGTGAAGTTGGACCTGAGCAATCAAGATTCACACTGAAAGTGGACAGCAACCTTGCTTGTGCTTGGACAAATGGAACGGCAATACCGTGGACTTCAATGCAGTTGTGCGCCTTCGTTCTAGCCGAGCACGAAGTGCATCAGGACGAGCATGCAACTGAGATTCAATTTCAGCTCTCTTGTTTTCCGCTGTGACACCATGGCCAATATGACCTCGGATTTTGATTTACTTCGAAACCATGTGCTGCACCAGGAACCGAGTCCTAGTCCTGCTCATTGCATTTACGATAACGATCCGACCAGCGCAGTGGAACAATGCTTTCAAGAGGCCTGAACAACGACATGTTTCATGCTGGGAACGAAGAATCTGACAATCTTGATGCGGGGAGCACTTATGCAGGTACTCAGACATTTGGGCCGGATAACAGAAGTTCGGGCACGAGGGCAACGCGTTCTGGTCTTATCGAGATAAAAAAGCTCCAATCCGTAGAGTTGCTTCGACATAAGCTGTGAGTTGATGGTTACTCCTTGCTGGCACAAGATGTTAAGCCCGTCCGCGTGAAAAACTCGTGTCCCTAGCCAGCATAGTGCGCTGCTGTCAATCATTCAAGCTACCGTTGAGACCGGCTGCTGCAAATGTCATTGGTAGTGTAAAACATCGTTATCGGCCTCGTTGTAACACGCAGATTGAAAAGGAAGCTTAGCGGAAGCCCTTTTCCCAAAAGTTAGGTGTGCAAATCCTCTGAACAGCCATGAGTCCGTACTTGCATGAGGCGCATGTGCGCAGATCACGCGCAGTTGATCTGTCACGGTGGAGATTCACATCAGTTGATCATAGTCTGCATTGACGTGCGGCCAACTGCAATGCTAGCTTGATCATAGGTAGACTATAGAAAGAGAGACCTTGTAGTGGTGGCCGCCCATATGTATCAACAGCGGTGTTGAAGGATTGCAGGCCACGGCGTGGTATATATGATCAAACCGCAATGCACACATTAAGGATCTGGCACCCAATTGTAAGTTAAGGTCTCAGCGCACGATTCATCATTAAATATCTATATCACTATATATGGTCGCGAGCCCACGGCAATGAAAGTTCAAGACTATTTGTTGTAAGTGGTATAGCGCTTGATTTGAAACCAACGTTTGATCGAATTACATAGGTATGATGAACTCACTAAAATAAAAGTGCTAAACGATCAAACGAAGTGGCCTTCTCATGCAAGACAGTAAATCGTACGTGAAGTTCACTGGAAACCCGGTTGCAAGGACATCATGCCTTTCAGTAACCCAATAGCAATCTGGCAAGCCCAATGCGGACAATCTTCTGCGAAGTCTGATATTGTAGCGTACCAGGCTAGCCTCTTGAAGAAGAGGCTGAGATATTGGACCGAATCACGCCCGATTACTTTTGCATACAACAGGAGCTAGAGGTCTTTGAAGCTTCGAACGGCACGGAACATAATGGAAGAAAGACACTATTTATTCAATCATAATATACATACCAGTTGCTGAAGTAGACGGGAGTTGGCAGAATCATTTCAAGCGAGATGAATTGAATCAAGCGCGCGTGCGCTATAGTTGATGGCAAGCTCTGAATGGGCTCCTGTGTGTGGCAAGCTATTATAAAAGTGATCGAGTCCTCTCAAAAAGCCTCCAAGTAGCCCAGCACCGCTGGCGGAAACATGCAGCGCCATGTGCACGCTCCATGTTAGGCTTGTTATATTGTGATTACAAAAGGTAGCTCTTGCCAGTGCACTGGCTCATAATAGCCAGCGTCTATGTCAAGGAGTTGTGCATGGATTGTTAGTAGCCTTCCAACGACCTGAGCGGGCATGTGCTCATGAACAGCAAGCGTACGTATACAAACACATCCACTGTTGCACGCCCGTGATTGACAATAAACAAATGTTCACTGATCAACGCTGCATGTGTGTACGAATTGATGCATACGTAATCATTCAAAGTGGGTGCAGCCGCTCATGTCAGTGCTAAATTTGATAACCGTCTGCATGGCTTGATTGGATGCATGATCGAAAGGAAGTTTGCAGTACGCACAGATGATGATACGCACTATACAACTATAAAGAATCTCGTCAATTTTAGCTTAAAATGTTTGGCCGGATCACTGCCATGACAGCTTCGCAAACTTGATCGAAGGCCACTGAGAGGTCGGAACATTGATTTCGTTGCATTTTTCTTTTATGATAGCAATACGCTGGGCCACGCCGGAATCAATTCTTGAAGATTCAAGTCACAGTCCGGCTTCGTCGGGGCCACATATGTACAGAACAGGTCGGACGATGTCACGTAGGCCCTAACTTCAAGCATGACGTGCCCCAGCAGCGAGCGAGTCAACAGCTATACAAACCGAACGTTTAGTGCATACGGCGGAAGTCGGGAATGATAATTGCAACCCGGGGCAATCCCTTGACCAAAATGTAACCAAAGAAAACGGCGATCGGACTTCTTTATTACTGTTAGTGTATTTAAAGTGTGTGAGTCGAGGTTGCATTCGAGCGCAGCTTTGCATACAACGGTCAGTAGCTCACGCTCTCATGCACCTTTGCTGGCACCAACCCGTCTTTCCACCACAAGTTGACAACTCAATAGAGATACCAGTGCAACCCCGTAACAGAGCACTTCGCCTGCACCGTACTTCGCTTCCGAGATAGTCTGCATAGGCACGATCGAACTCGTGTTAAAATCGCAACTGCCGCACGTTTCAAAGACACAAAGTAAACCTAGGTTCATGCTTCGTGGAGATCATGGCCTGCAAATGTGACCGGACAGCTTGCGTGTATCTTGAGAATCTCAACGGGTTCTGAATGTGAACATCAGAACTTTCACTTTGCATTGATCTCCGACCAGACCCAAATAAACACATCTTACGAGACCTGATTGATCTCGATGTAACATACCAGCTAAAGACAATCTTTGCATGGTGCACCTCTCCGCTTACCGAGCATTTTGATAGGACCCTGGTCGTCCTTAAGATGGTCCGTCAAAGCTTTCAGAGTTTAGGCTCTCTTCCTTGGCGTGCCACGTCTGTGTCCAGCACCTCCAGCTCGCGGTGCGCCTGCGCCGGGGTACTAACGTGCCGTTAACTAGGGGTGAGATCAGCGAGCATAGTAGCATACTAGTCTCTCCGCCCATGAACTTTAGGCACTCCCCTTGCGACGGGGTTGAAAACGGATGCTCTTGCTGCTGCACGTGTGTCCACCAAAACATTTGAGAGGGACTAGTTCGGTGGGGGACTGGTCGGAACGCGGTGAGTTGGGCAGGAGCTGACGGGAGGCAGGTTGACCCGGGGGCTGACCGGGTGCAGAATTGACCGGGGAGGGCTGCATGGGTGGCGAATACATTTACCGACAGGGAAGGGGGGACCTCCGGTCGGAGGCTGGTCGGGTGGAGGCAAAGAGAACTGTGGGGGCGGGTCCGAGGAAAGGAAAGCGGGACGAGTTCTTACCGGGTGGGCTGAGCAGGGTTGGTCGGGTGGTAGCCGGGAGTGCGGGTCAGGAGGTGGATTGGCCGAGGGGGTGCGTCGGGAGGTCGGAAGGGCGGGGGCGGGGCCTGGTTCAGGCACCTGCGAAAAAGGTAGGAAGAAGCGCTGTGAATAAAGCAGCGTTCTGAAATATGTATGAATTTGTGAAGCTTTAGAAGCGCTGCCTTTCGAGCCGGTTCAGTTTTGCAGAGCAAAAGACCATTGATGAGATTGAAAAACAAGCAGAACCCTGTCATTGGGCTTGAAAAGGATGTGCAGTTCTGGCTCTCGCATCTCGAGCAACACCAATCGGGCGAAAAGTCAAGAATGAGGTGGAGACATCCGCCGGCCTGTTGAATTGAATCTCTGGACTGTGATTTGGGAGTTGTTCGAAATCTACCTGCAACAAGCCACAGTGACGGGCAGCACACGAGAGGGAAGGACGCAGTGATTTGACTGACCGGCTGTCAGGGGCTTGAACGAAACGGTCGACGCCGTTGCTGACGTCAGCCGTCGAGTCATGGAGGAGGAAACCCCTGCCAGCAATGGCGCTGCTGAAAACCCCGGCCGGTGTGAGCAGTCCCAGCGGCGCCTTGCGAACCGTAGGGTGACACTGATAGCGCCTTCGTTATACTGCTGAGAGGCTGCGAGGGCAACAGAAATTCCGATTAGTCGGGTAGTTTCATAGAAGCTGGTCAGAAGCATTCAGCCGACTGGTATCTGCAGCGCACATGCGAATCACAATTGGGCGGGAATGAGATTTGGAGAATGTAATGAGGAAGTGGACCTTCTTTGAGTCTTGACAAAGAACTCGAGACGCCATGTTCGTCTCCTGTCGGTGCAATTACATCGAGCGTGTCAAGAACTCTGAACGCAAAGCACGGCAAACAGACTTCCTTAGCCCGGAACTGCTCATGAGCTTACGTGTAGGCAGCCACGTTGAGCATGCACTTGTCAGACTGATATCAGACATCAAAGCAGCCCCCGCGACTTACTTATGTGCGTGGACACGTTGCCCATGAAGGCTACCAGCGCATTCCTCCGTTCTGCGCACCCCTGATGCAGCCGTGCACTGCATCACTTGCAGCGTACCTCTCAGCATGTCCTGCCGTCTTCACGACCGCTGCAGCCTCCACTGGGGCCAAGCCCCGTGCCGCCTGCCTTCTGTCCCGCCTTCTTGTGCTCCAGTTGAGGAACTCGTTCATAACTGCATGAATGATAGGACTACTTTGTGATTGAAACGCAGACTGCAGGCAGGCAGCTATTCGGAGAGCCGTTCTTTCCAGCTCTCGTTGGACAACTTGGAGGGCGTGGAAGACGCGCGAGCACTCCCTGTAAAGCAAGCAAAGTCTCCCGATGCAACGGCTAACTTTCAACAAACCCAGTATGCCTTTTTCTCCCAAGTGCTTCTTCTTGCAGCGTGTTTTCGAACCGCAGCTGATGCACTCCAGTGGAGCCGAATCGAAATGGCTATAGCGGCCCTGTCCAAGCGTTTGGACTTGCCTGCGGCACTCAGCCGCTCATAGTCTCTATTAGTAGTGGTCTCACCTGTTTCCAACAACTTCCTGTCACTGTTGGGACGCCCCTCTTCTTACTCATGGCTCGGCGCGCGGGCCTGGCCCCCGGGCTCTTCCGGATGCTCTCATACAAGCGTCTCCTCCGTTGTCTCTGGCTCAGGTCCTCCAGCCGGGCCTTTTGTCCGCAATCTGTGCAGGGGTTGGGAGGAGGGCATTTAAAGGACGCCTGCTAAAATTTATATGCCCGAAGCCAGCCTGCATCAAGAACCTGGTCGGAGAGTGGGCCGAAGGGGGGTGTTCCAAAAGGGCGCTGGGCAGGAGTTGGAGAACTCTGTGTGCTTAGCTACGGGATCAAGAGACACACACAAAAGAAGATATGGCCGCTGAGCGACGCCATCGCAGTCAAGAGGGGGTCCTGTCGCTCATCAAGAGGGGCCCAGGGAATGGGTGTAAGTCCTCTGCGGGCAAGGCTTGGACCAGCAGAATTCACGAGCAGGTGGTATGGAGACCAGGTTACCAGTTGAGGACCCGCAATCCTATCGATGAGGATATTTCTTCTGATTACTCACAACCAACAAATGGACTTGGTACAGTCTTTTCAGCTTGGTGACACAGCAGCAGACCCTGTGAGGGGCCTGCTTGCCTTCCCCAGCTCCGCCTTACCTGCGTGCTTCGTTGAGTGCCCTAAGGACGAGGGAGGCAGCTGCCATCGCCAAGTCAAAGTTGTGCTCCGCAGAGGTCAATTCCCCTTGACAGGCTCGCCTTCACACAGTCGGCGCTCCCTCCACCAATGGGGGGCAGAGACTGTCGCTTGGAGAGGCGGGGGTAGCATGGCGCACACTCTGTTGGGGCTCGCTACTTGCTAACCATAGTGGAGCTCAATCCTTTGAGACCTCGAGGGGCTTCCTGTCAATTGAGCTACTGTCCGCCATTGCGCCCCCCGAGTTGCGTGCCCGCATTTGCAAGTGGTGCTGCTGCTTCTGCTGGCAGCCCGCTACCCTGGCTGCGCGTTCAAGGGCAGTACGCCTGCATGGATAGGGATCAAAAAATATTGCACAAAGCTATGAAAATTTGAAAAGGACAATAGGATAGAATAGAAGGCCAAACGGAGCAGGGAGCAACATACTTAAGAATGTCAAACAAGCTATGCATGAGAAAAGCACGAAGGCTGCCCTTAAGTATCTTCAAAAGCGAGATCCTGAAGCAAATCAAGTCTCAGCAGAAACGACTTTGATATCAACAGCATTTTGCCATACCGCAGCTCGTCAGAAGATGGCAATGCTGAAAGGTGGCTAATCTAAACGGTGCAAGAGACGGAGTATGGAGTGGGCTTTTATGTAATAAATAGCATATGCTGCAATGCCACAAAGAAAGTCAAAAGAAACATGAACAGCTACACATAGAAGTTAAGCCAGAAGAAAGGCATGAACATTCAACAGATGCACACGAAAGAAAGACTGGTAGCAACAGCAGAGAGTGAAACATATGACTTACTTGAACACCATTCAATTACGAAGGTAGCCATGGCTGCGGCGACGCTCTGCTTGCTGCTGAAGGCAGAACTGAAGTTGCAACTTACAATGACGTAATATAATGACATGAGGAGTCCAGCATCTGACACAGCTTGTACACATCTTGTCACTTGTCGGCTCTTTAGAATTGAGCTCGTCATACGGTTTGAAGAGGGCTTTGAAAGGCCTGTTTCCTGACATCAGTGACAATCACGCTTCCCATTTTGTGAGCAAGAGTCTGCCGAAACCTTCGAACAATTCCAGTATTTTGCGCATTTTCCAATTTTGAAAATTATTTTCAGAGATTTCATGACTTCTTGAGGGTACGTACCGAGGTGCGACAAAGGTGACCTCCAGATGGTCTCCAATGCTGCCAGGTGTCGCTCTTCGATGTTAGCAATCCGTAAAATACGCTTCAGTGAATTTTTAGAGGTCCCGGCGCACCGTCCGTAACTCAACATAGCCTAACTCAACATAAAATTGAGTTATTCCGCAAAGTTCCCCTCCATTGTGCGATTTACTTTGTTCAGTTCCAGGACTTGAACCAGAAGCCCCATGCAGGCAAACTGTTCAGAGTTCAAACCCCCAACGCCCATGCCTTGTGGCACATGTTTGTGTCAGCGGAAAAGGTACATGCTTACTGCTGACATCGCCAATGTCCGTGTTTGCAACCGATTCACATTGTAGTGGGCAAGAAGAGTCGCTGGGGATCTTGCTTATTGAGGGCGTCTGCTTGTTTTGAGGCGAGAAGTTGTTGAAAAAAGTCGCATACAACATGTCTGTGGAGGCGGGAAAAGGAGAGGTTGCCGCAAGCATAAAAGCCCTCTCGGAGAAAATCAAAGAAGTGGACAGACGTCTCAACGACGAGAAAGAAGATGGCAATAAGGAGGCTGAGCTCTGCTGGCTGAAGCAGTCGACGGCGTTGTATCAGGAATTGGCAGCTCTGCAGCAGAAGGAGAATCTGCTGCTCGCGAAGGAGGTTGGCTTGCAGACTAGTGGTGAGTTTCCTGGTTCTTGATGCAGAGGGCAACTGCCTTTGTTGATTCAGAGCAAGAATTAGTCAAATCCTCAAAAATTCGAACTGTTCTATGGCATTTGTGCATGTTTGCGATGTTGGAGATTTCTGCTTCATGGTAAACGCCGTAATTTACACCACCCCTTGAATATGTGGGTGCCTGTTTTTTCTGTTTCTGAATCATTTCACCTCTTAGGCTGGATCGAGATTGCATGCTTCCTGAGCTGGGTGGTCTGCTATTATCTGCGATTTCCTTTTTTCCCCGCAGTACAGAAGTAGACTGCTTCTCCAAGGGTATGCAAACTTGGCTCCCCCACATGAATGCAGGAGCCTTGGTTTGTCTTCTGATCTTGAAAGCATGCTTAGAGTGTTTGGGGAGAGCTGCTTCTGAGACCTTCTGATCTACTTCATAAACCAGTGTCTGAGATCAGCATCCTGCAAACTTGTGTCTATGAATGAAACACACAAGCACACAGAGAGAGCTCCTACCTGTGCAGCGGCAAGCATGCATTTTACTGAGTGCTCGAGCTGCCGGTTTGGCCCAGGCCCGATGCTTTTCAAGTCTGGGCTTCCTTGCCGTCTCATATTCATTGAGATGAGGCGGCAGGCATTTTCGCCATTGTACTCAAGGGTCTAGTTCAGCACTGGGTCTCTGGTGTCAAATTGATTTTGATTGCTGTGTGCGCAGCCTCTGTGGCTGGAGCAGCGGTTGCGCCCGGTGTAGCCTCTGGAAGCGCCAGTAAGTCGCCTAAGCTGCCAATCCCATAGTCGTTCAATTTCTGTCCTAGAATCCTTTTGTTGGTTTGAAGGGTTGTTAGGGTTCTTATTCTGCTAGCTCGTGGGTCTGCGGACTGTATGTTGTGAGGAGGCGGCATCACCGAGGAGATTTCTTCCTCAATCTCTGGGGGTTTTATGGAGATAATCATAGCCGCAATCTTGTGCTAAACTCGAGACAGTTTTGGTCTCAATTGGAGGCCAGGCAGGTGTGGAGCCTTGTCTTCAAGTAAGGAGTGTCCGTTTTGTGCTTGTCAAGATTAGCACATGAGATCTGAAACCTGCTCGCTATCGTTGAGGCTGCAAGGAAAGCAAAGACTGCGGCAGCATCGTGGCACTCCCTTCTGCTGTTTTGGATGAGACACCCTCTCACGCTGCTCTGGTTTGGTAGCTGCGTTCTGTGGAGACTTTGTACTGTGCTGTCACGCTGTCATGAGGTCAGTGGATTGAAGGCCCTCCAGTTTTCTGGCTGTCAACGCATGCCGTGAACTGATGGATTGCTTGCCATTTGAGCAGGGTCGCCCACTTCCGTGTACCTTAGAATAATGTGGCCGGTGGATTCGGGAGAGCAGGCGTTAGACACAGTAGTGTACCCCTCCTCGAACGCTGCCGTCGACGTCCTAAAAGCATTCACCAGACAAGGGCGTCTCGCGGAAACGAATAACCTGGAGCCGGAAGACTTACATCTGAAGGATCATCGCGGTGCTGACTTGAGCGAGTCCCTAGATGTTCCGGGGTCGTCTCCAGAAGCGCCACTGCAAGTATGGCTGCGAAGTGAGTTGCACTGAAGCTTGCCAGCGTTGCGAATGGAGATTGGTTTGCGCCCCACGTAAGGAAGTCGGCAGGATACTTCAAGGTGCGTGAAATCTCCTGTCGGCTCCTTTCTTGCATAGCAGGGAACACCAGGGTGGCTTGAAGTGCTTTTGTGACGCATTGGCCAGGATTCTCTGTAGGCGTGGGCGCAATGAAATCCTGAACGCACGAGCTTGGAAGGTGTACTTACCGACTTGCCATGGACCTGGAGCCTGGTTTCCCGAACCCAATCCAATCCTGACCCTGACCCTATTGTGCAGCTTGTGGAAGGTGTGTCTGACTAGTTCCCAGTGGATTTTAGACCCTAACCCTGAATTCTTAGGAGATTGTGCAGCTTCGGAAGGTGTGTCTGACTAATTCCCAGTGAACCTTAGACCCTAATCCTGAATTCTCAGGAGATCGTGAACACTTAACCCTGCTTTCTGAGCGTGTTGCTTTGGCAAGTGGGTCCGACGGACACCCAATAAACCCCTAACCCCGACTCCCCACTCAATCTCTCTTCCTTCACCTCTGCGGTTTTGAATGGTGAGTCTGACAGACTCCTGGTCATCTCGAAATCCTTAAGCTTCTTCCCCACTGAGAAAGTGGACTCTGACCTTTGACCCTGATTATGCAGCTCTGGAAGGTGCGCCTGGGGCCCGGTTTCAATCAACTTAAGACTTGCTCAAATTCCTTGCGAAGGCACTACATATCTTATTCATCCTGAACTGAAGAAAAGCTTGTTCATCTCCCCTTCTCTTCTACACTCATCATAAGTCTGCACATTTCTTCGTTGCAGATACTGCCCGCCTTCCTCCAGCAGCGCGTTCGCACTGCAGCGCATCAGACCTAACGTCAAAGACCCTGCGGGCGGCCCAGGAGAGGATTGGCTTCAAGGAGGCATGTAGCTCCTGGCCATTTGGAATCCCCAACCCTGTCCCTCCCCTCCCCAAATACAAACCGGTCGCCGGCGGGAAAGAGGAGAAGAACACCGCGCCGTTCTACAAGTACCTCGGGAAGCATTTCCTGAAACCGGACTGGCCCGTAACCTTGCACGATACGCATTCTGCCCGGCTCTTCAATGGAGACACGGGCCTCCCTCTCCCCGGCGCACCAACGGACGTCACTGGGAACTGTGACTTCGTGATGACCCCTTCGTTCATCGGGTAGGTCTCTGTCCTGGAGTTGGCAAGTTCCTCGGGAGTGAGCCGAGTTCGTACCTCGGGTAGGTCTCTATCCTGGAGCCTGCAATCGCCTCAGGAGTGAGCCGAGTCTGCAAAGTCTGCACCCCTCAAGGAAGCTGGTGTCATATAGAAACGAGGATGCATGACTTCAGATTCGCAGCTTTCTCCGACAGAGAGAGCAAAGGCTCCCTTTTCGCAGTTGCTTCTTAGAACTCTCCTCTCGTGACATTGCGTTCGGGCTTGTTGTAGGTGCCACCCACAAGTCGCTATGAAGCAGATCAATTCATGCGCCGCTTTACTGCTTGTACTGCGACTGAAGGAAGCTCTGTAGCAAAGGAATGTAGTCTAGGAACCCTGGTAACGGAAAGTGTATACATCAATGATGGGCCTTGGTAGAGCAGACCCCAGAGGCAACGTGCATGTGGCGTACCACTGCCCGCAGACCTTCTGCAGCCGGCCTGATACTCGAACATTCTTTACACCCGTGCTTGCTTTCGCCTTTGAATAATTCTTCCTCCACGAATGGTCTTTGGGAATTTCTTCCTGCGAGTCTCCTTTTGTTAGGATCGGGATCTCACTTCGATGGCAGATGCATTGCGTAAGGTTCTATGAAGTGTTCATACATTTCAGTCGGAACCTGTGGTGGCTACTTTGGCATCGGGTAGTATTTGTCCGGTTCACTTGCCGGCAACTTCTGCTTTGAAAGACACTTTGAAACATAAAGCAATTCACGCTGCCTACTTCTGAATGGTTTTGATTTTCGGTACAGGTCAATTACAACGAGCATGTTGGAGTACACGTTTGTCTTCTTCGAGCTCACGGACTTCAGGCCTCTGACGGGGAGTACGGCCACCGACGCCATTGCCTCGAAGAGCACGCAGGTCATTGGGGAGTTGCTCCTCGTGCAGTCGCAGTCGAAGTTTCGGGTCTACGCAGCAACCGGTGCGCATCAGCAGTTCGAGCTCTTCTGGTTTACGGACCTAAAGACGCTGTGCCGAAAGCGCGGGACGACCGAGGAGGCAATTGCAGTGCTCGCGCGGATCGTAGACAAGCACCGGGCTGTGTGTGCGGCGCTGAACGCAGATTCAAAGGCGCCCCTCCCAGACGAAGTCGCGGCCGGGCAGCTGTCCCGCCTGAGCGAGCTCACCCGGGTGAAGCGGAGAAACGAAAACTCTCTGGAAAGCCGCAGAGACACATCCCAGCAGACCATGCACCGGGAGAAGAAGCACAAAAAGGGATCAGCCGGCAAGAAGCCGCCTCCACCCTCTTCCGGTGCCGCAGGGGCAGGGCTTGCCTCGGTGGCAGAGGATGACGGCGGAGGTGAGGACGAGACACGGGTAGGGTGTTACGGTTTGCGAAAACGGACGGGAGGGTCCGTGGTCAAGAAAACGGTGCCGGGGCCAGTGGGAAAACGGAAGGCAGCAGCGCCGGCGGAGGAGGACGGAAGGTGCCGAAGCGTGGCGGCGAGAGTCGATCCGCCAGATGAGGAGCCGTCTGCGAGCGGGGTCAGCGGAAGCAACACCTCCATTTCTGAGCAGAGCATAGGGTATCTGGATGCGGACAGCGACTGCGACAGCCTGCCCGCAACCGGGGAGGATCGCATCTTCGATCACCTGCAGCGGATCAGCGCTCTCGCTGCGGACGGGGGCATTCTTGATAGCAACGGAGGCACGGTGTATGACCCGTCCACAGTGTCGTGGGGCTGGGACGGGGACCGGGGCGGTCTGATCTCACAGCCGAGCTCATTGGCGGGGTGGACGGTCTCGATTGATCGTGGATCGGGGATGATGGACCACTTTCTGCTAAGTGGGCATCCCGCAGGATGCTTGGAAGAAGATTGGGACGGGGAGAGCTAAGTAGCTGATCCGCATCTTTGACCTAGAGAGATTGTTGGAGGGGCCCCTATGACTGTCCACATCAGCTTGTTTCACGAGACCGACATCAATGTAACGGAGCCTATCAATTGCAGTTCACTTTTCCAATCGATTCACTCCTCGCATGCTTTTTTGTTAGATATGCGACTTGGCATTTGTCGACCACCCTTCCCATCTTTGTTAGTGTATGCGTCGCTTGCATGATTGGCTAGTAAGGAGCTTTTGCATGCGTCTCAATGATGCCCACTGGATGTACATCCAGTGCATCGAACATGTTGCTAACATTGATGCATCATCGTATGTTTGTGGGTGGCTCGTTATCGCATCGGCGTTATGTTATGCGACCTAGTTGATGATCCGCGCGTCAGGAGACGTGTGTGTGAACTAAAGCGCGCCGCCGGTAAACAGAACGGAAACAGCATCATGGCTCCATATTGCTGTTCCCGATCTGATACTAAGACCTTAAGGTGCACCTGACGGCGCAAAGCACAGACTCACAGTCTCGTAAGTGAAAGATCATCTTCGCATTGAGCAAACGCAATCTGTGGATAGCGCCAGCAGACGCCCGGAAAGTGTATGGTTGCACTAGTTGACTGGCTGAACTCGAAAAGCGTGGCCGGCCCGAGGCTCGTCGGACCACCCGGTGTTCGAATCAAAAACTACAAAATCCAATTTGAGACCACGCACAATCGTAGTATACTATGATATGCTAGCGTTAGACTTAGCTATTGAATTCTCGAGTTAGACGGAAACATGCAGCTTATTGTAGAATTTACAATGCGTACCACTTGGTTGACCACGTACTGTAGTCTCTAGCCGGACATAATAAAGCAACATGTAACTCGATGGCCCTGCACTTAGCGGGCGTCTGCAAGCTTGTGACTCCGTGAGCCTTGACGTTTACCGTGTTTGGTCTCATTGATCTCTTAACCTGCTTTGCAAGCGCCATCGCTTAACCCACCGTCTCTACCATCGCCGCAAACCGGCTCCCCTCTCTGGCCATCAACACCGCCGGACTGTCCATCTCCACAATCCGCCCCTGGTCCAACACAATCACCCGGTCACACTGCAACACCGTGCTCAGCTTATGCGCAATGTACAACACCGTCCCGAGGTAGAACCCACCGCCCGGGGCGCCCTCAAACGCCCGGGGGGTCCCCCCGCCACTCTCCTCTCCCTCCAGGTTCGCCAGCGCCTGCCCACTCGGCGCCCGGGAGAGCTACCCCGAGCTTCCGAAGCCGCCGCGGCCGAGCGACCGGGGCATCCCCGGGCGCCACAGGAGCGCCCGGTAGATGGCGCGCTCCGAGTCCGCATCGACCGCGCTGCTCGCCTCGTCGAGCACGGTCGTGACCGTCGCTGACTGGAGCAGGGCACACGCCACGCACAGCAGCTGCCGCTCCCCGAGCGACAGCGCCCCGCCCGCCTCCTCCTCCAGCTTCTTCTCTTTCGCGGCGACCGTCTTCCTCAGCGCAAGGGCCTCGAGCGCCGCCCAGGTTTCGCGGTCGAGGCGCACCCCCCGGGGGTCCAGATTGCTGCGCAGGCTCCCGGAGAAGAGCACCGGCTCCTGAGGCACCACCGCGAGCCTGCACCGCAGTTGGGCGAGCGGCACGCCCGCCACGTCGACTCCGTCGATCAAGATTCTCCCCCGATCTAGTTCTACCAGCCAAGCTACTCTTCCCGGCGCCCATTATCCCGACCACCGCGATCCGTTCCCCGGGCGACGCCGCAAATGTCACTCCCCGCAGCGCCGCCTTCCCGGGCTTCTCTCCGTCCCCGTCTCTCGTTCTGCCGGGCACTTTCTGCCCCCCGGTTGCTTTCACCGCTCCCTTGGCGCGCACCTCGTACACCAGCCACACGTCCTGGAACTCCAACCGGCCGTGCTCGGGCCACGTGGCGGGCGGCTGAGCGCCCGGTACAAACCGCGCGCCCGGTACGCCAGTTTCCAAAGACTGTACTGTGGCCGGAAGAGGGATTCTCGGGCGGCCGTCCCAGGTTTCTGAGGGGAGAGCGGTGTAGTCGAGAACGCGTTCCACGGCGACCATGGCGACTTCGAGCTCGGTCCACTGGCGCACGCTCCACATGAGCAGCTCAGCGAACTCGGCGGCGTACGTAATGCTGAGGGCAGCCATCTGGGGAGGCGCGAAGAACATGGTTACCATGCGAGATCATCGAGGGAGTCAAGCTAGGCAGACGCTTTCGAGAAGCAAGGAGTAACGGAGTTAGTTAAGCGCTTATTAAAAGCAAAGTTGTGTGAACGGAAAGAGGGTGAAAGGAAAGTTTTGAAGCCCGAAGGACACACCAAGATGATAGCATTTGATCGCCGTTCAATGCTAAGTTACGGGCGTCTCTCATTGAGCGAAGTACAAGACTCTGGCTACGGGGAAATAGAAGTACCCGATGCCAGGACAGACAACACGACCAGACGCAAATGACGCGCATGCCAGAAAACAAAACGAGAGACTGGACATGCCGAATCGAAAGACACAAGACGAATAAGCGGCGAATCCCGTCAAAGCTGTTATACTTTACGACTGGTTCCTCACCTTTAAGAATCCATTCGGATTGAAAAGCCATCAAACGGCTCATGGTCGAGGACCAATACTAAGAGACGTACCACGGGGGTGGTACGCCTGACACATCGCAGCAGTGATTCAGCAAAAAATAAAAGCTAAGTGCTGCTGAAAAGGGCGCCCCACCTCGGGCCGCAGGTTCCCGCGCTCCGTCTCGACGATCGCGAGGAACCTGGCCCCCAACATCATCGCCGCGCCCATGGCGTCCATCCAAAAGGTCACGAACTGGTTTGCCGCCCACGCGCTGAACATCGCCGCCAGGAACCCCGCGGCGCGCGCCTTCCCGTCCGCGACAAACCTCGAAACCTCGCCGAACGCGCGCACTTCGTCTTGGGGGCCGGGTGATAGCGACAATTCGCCGACCTCCTGGCTCAGATGCATCATACTGTCATCCTCGTCTTGAGGGAAGTGATGCGGCGACTCTTACTGGTCGCTGCCGTCTGAGGATCTTTCGTCGCCCTCTCCTTCACTGGAACTGGGTTCCGGTCCAGACAACATCTGTGCACAACGTGAAGGATAGTTGCTTTTGGAAGGTGCACTTGATGCAAGCCGAAATGTTTAGCTCATGGATAGCTCAAATAGAAGGCTTATCAAACATCACACTCATCACCTTGCAAAGTGCATAAGAATCCGCATCCAGTAGCCAGCAAAAGAACTTCTTTCGACGAGCTACTCAAAAAAGACGGACGCTTGTAAGGGATATGGCACGAGACACACTTAAAGGACTAAAGGCAAGGGGCTAACCTCATGAGAGGACAAATGAACGAGCGGCGCGCCATTGCGGGTCCCCGGGGTTGCGGACACCTCGTCCTCCACAGGCCCGGGATTCAACTCCACGCAGCCGGTTGCCAAAAGGGTCCCTGCGCAGAGGACAATACAACGGCGAGTCGTTTTTCTGGGCGTACGATTCTTGACCAAACAACTCAGGCAACTTAGGAACAGTAGACAACCATCAAGACCCGTATGCACCAATTGCATGCTCCCAAAGATAGCGCAGCCGGCTTGTTTCTCACCTATGAGAGCGATGCTTTTGGGCGTCAAATCATAGAACATCGCGTTTTGCCCAGGCGCGTTGCGAGCTGCAAACGGCAAAACGAATGTTCAGAATGGTTGACAGCAAGCTTGCCGCATGCTCGTGCAGACATCTTGTTTGGGGCGGGGTACCAAAACTCCCATTTCTCTCTGCAGCACTTGATAAAAGATCATGATATGCGCTCAGTATTAACCACAAGTAAGCGTCGGCCCTGCGGTGCATCTCGAGAAAGGCTCAAAACTGTCCCCCCCCTTCCAAAAAACTGCCCCCGAAAAGTGCCCCGAAAGCATCGCCCCTCGAAACTGCCCCCGCAAACTGCACGCGACGCTCACTTGTTCGGGATCGCTCCTTCTCTGCGCTCGATGGTGCGCCCCCAAATTCCCGCAGCTCGGCTTTGAGTCTGGCAAGCTCCGCCTTTATGCGCCACATCTCCACCCAAGCTGCAGGCGCAGAAAGGCTTCTTGTGCTTTGCAATTGGCCAAAAACTTTAAAGCCATCGATTACGGGCGGAAAAAAGTGCCGGAATGGCTGCTGACGTCACCAGAGAGGCTTTTTTCAAAAAGGTGCGTCGAAAGCTCGGACACTCGGACACCTTCGTGCCGTGAATTACAGAAGAAATTGCCGGGGATGGCTGCTGACGTCACCAAAGAGACTCCCTTCAAAAAGGTGTGTCAACAACTCGGACACTCGGACACCTTCATGGATGACGCAGTGCTCCAACAGTTTAGAGCCTCACGGGCCTCAGTGGCGCCGCTCGAGATGGCGACATGCCTTACATGCGCGATCTCTGTTGATGCGGAAGCTTCCAGTCGAGTGGTCATGTTCTTTGCAGAAGTACTGGACTACCCCCCCTTCCTTGCTTCCTCGAAGCCCGTACACTGCGGTTGCGCCGCACACGTGGCAACAACACGTGGCAACAAAGACTATGCGGGTCTGCAAGGGAGGGACGGAGATGGAGCTCGAGCGGCCATTCTATGAGCTGCCTTCACGAGAGCACTGCATCCTCCCCCTCGCTGGAAGCGCTGCCCTGGCAGGTTGAGACGCAGACGGAATGAGAATGCAACCACGGAAGCAATCACATCCTCACCTGCTTTCCTCCCAAGTTGCTCAATGCCTTCTGGCCGCCCCACAGAAGGTGGAAATCTGGGGCTTCCGCTTGCGACCTTAGCTCTGCGGGCCCTGCGCGCAGCGCGCACGGTGCCCCGCTGCTTCAGCCCCTCAAGGTGCGCCGCAGCTGTTGATGCGACAATGCGCCCAAAGCCCTCCAGCAGTGCAGACTCTGGGGCCTCAACCAGCCCCTCGAGGCCGCTCATGACGGCCTCCAAGGCACCACGCCAGGCTGCCTCCGTCCAGAGAAGGCCCGCCGGTCCGCACTGCTCTCTCGCCAGCCTGCACACGCGGCCCGCGTTCCTTCAAAAGACGCGGTTCCCTTGTACGGGCGTCCGCTTGAGCGCGCTCCCGACGAGGATCTTGACTGCCGAGAGGGAGAGCGCGCCGCCCACACCGGGAGGGGAGCGCTGGGCTGCATCAGGGGTGCGCTGGGCCGGCCCAGGTGTTTCCGTCGGGGGCGCCATGTCCGGATCCTGCGGGCGGAGAGGATCGCGAGGTGAATGGGCGATCGCAGCGAACCGGCGCCATGCCTCGAGAGCCCCAAGAACTCGTATGGGTGCGCGCGCCTAACTAAAACAGAGGCCACGAGCTAAAAAAGCTGGCACTCCACAATCTGATGCCCAGGCTTAAGAACCAATGCAGATTCTTAGCTCTTTGATCTAGTTTCCTGCAAAGTAACACAACACAGTCGAGCAACATCGCATAAGTTGCAAACGTGTTTGACAACAAGCAGCTTGGAGGTTTCCACTCATACGAGAGTTCTAAGTCTGCACCCTCCACCGAGCGGCGCACTCACAGCCTTTCTAGCTGTCCTTGACAAGAAACCCTTGACAGCGAGCCAATCGGCTCAAGGACTGCTGCGCATCTGCTGCTGGAGATAGATGCATGTCCACTGTTCTGTCTGTTTGGAGCTGATAGTGTATGCAGGGATGCTTCAGCCCGGGGCATCCCCAGCATACATACACCACCACCAGTCAAGAGTTTCTTTTGCTTTTTTGGCAAAGATGATTGAGACTGCAGCTTGCACGCTCCCACGACAAGCGGTCTGGATCTGCACGCTCCAACAAGCGCCCCTCACCTTGTATGAGCTTCTCCAGCGCTCTTGAGCAGGACGTTTCCAAGAAATCCTTGACAGGGAGCCAAAAAAATGGCTCAAGCATCTGCTGGTGCGCAGCTCTAAAAATGTGCGTTGATCCCGCTAGCGCCTCGCTGGCGCTCTTTAGCAGCTGTCTGATTGTGCATCCTGAGTTGGAAGCTTGAGTCAAAAGCTAAGAAGCTCGTGCTGAGGAATGAGCTGAGAAAATCGTGCTGGGTGAATGAAATGGCAGGACCTCTTTTTGTAGGTGCAGTTTTTCAACCGTCCAACAGCCTGGCAGAGAAGGCGGACAAGCTGGACACCAAGGAAAAGTCTCCAATGAAAAGCCTCAGTCAGACGTCTGAGGCTCTGAGCAAGCTCCATTAGACGGTTGAGCGGTTCCGAACACTGCTGTAGCTGCTCTTTAGACTTTAGAGAGAGGCCTGACTCAGATGTCCCAGCGAGCTACAAATCCGGAAAGGCCTGACTCAGACAACTAGGGAAGCTCCACGTGGCAGATATCGTAAAGTGTTTCCGACATTCCGACTCCGAGCCTGACTCAAACAATTAGGAAAGATCCACGTGGCCGAGAAAGTACTTCCAAAGCCTGAATCAGACGTTTAGGGAGCTACAGCCTACACACATCGCTGAAAGGTAGTTCCGACTCTCCGAGCCTGCCCCGACTCGGACTATGACTTGAACAGAAGTTGGCCCTGGCAACTTAGGGGTAGGGTTCCAGCCTGAT